CTCGAACACAAAATCTCAAGGACAGTGGCCGGCCCTGAGTTCAAAACCAGCAAAAAAATTGAAAATTTTTAAAAAAATGAAAATTAAAATACAGGGAATGGTCTTAATAGCATTTTAATTAAATGAGTTCTAGAGTCATAATTACCAGGGACAAATCAGTTATACTGTCAGCCTGCTTCCCCATATTGAAATGGGAAAGGTTGTTGTAAGGACTTGTGTTAGTAATCCTTCAGCCTGTGTGTGGTCCACCGACCCTCCTGGAGACTGGGATCTGGGGACTTCACTAGGTTATCGGCGGCTGTCAGTGACTTTGAAAAGGACTTCCTTGTTAATTTCAAACTTTGTTTAAACTGTTTTACACTTCGTCAGCCTCATGGGAGACTTCCGAGACGGTGTTCAAAGCATGTTAGTACAGTAAACTGCAATGTTAATGTGGCTTTTCTATTTGTAAAATAATGTGTGTGCTAGAGGCAAGGCTTAGAGAGAGAGTGGTTGTCTAGCAATCACCAAACCCTGATTTGTAACACCAGTTCTATTTCCCTTCCTCCTAAAATATGTGTGCATGCACGGGTGTATATGCATGTATATGTGTATGTACATACACACATAGTGAATTTGGCTCATTCTACCCTTAGGTATTTATGATTAATTGAACAGGGCCATTGTAATTCTGTGGAGGGAAGCATTGAAACTTCCTTGATACCTCTTCATATGAAAAGGATTTAGAATATCCTTAAGTGTACAGTTAAGCTGTGCTAGCAGTTGACCTTGTTAGCTAGAGGGGAAGGAGTTATCTTTGGTATCACATTGGCATGTTGTAAACCAAGTTGGCAAATACATTGGCTTGTGGTCCGTAATAAGTTAAGTGACTTGAAATACTGTATATTCTTTGCCATCCCTCAGAGTTAGGTTGATTTCATATGGTTTATTTTAATTATAAAAGAATATGTTTTGGTTTCAAAGAATATGTTTTGCTTTTTTTGAGCTTGACTACTGTAGGATGATTTTGTTTGTGATAGAACACTTGTTTCATTCTCATGAAGTCTCCTTGTTTCTAATTTATTTATCTCAAGTAAATATCTCTTTCAAGACAAGTTCCCATTATGATTTTCAGGCTGAGCTTGAACTTGCGATATTGGAGCCTTACCTGATGTGTAGCTGGGATTTACAGGCATGTGCTCCCATGCCCTAAATGTCATTTTTGTTGTTTATTTTGTTTTGTTTTCAGGGCTGAGTATCCAGTCTATAGCCTTGTGCATGTTAAGCCTCTCAAACTCTCAGATTGAAGGGGATCCCTAGTCTAAATGTATTTTTATGAAATAAAGTCTTTGATCTCGTTCGCTGGTTAACTTCTACTACTACATCTGATTTCTTCTAGGGTATATTTCACTCATCAAGTTTGTTTGAAATTTTGTTCACTCATTACAATAATACCTCCTACAGTCTTTCTTAGGTAAGGATTTTATTTTTTTCTTTTGGAAAGGTAGAACTGAGAAGTAGAGTTAAAACTAAGGTTTTAGATCCTTTGCCTAGCATTTTATTGCTGGTATAAAAGGTTTGTTGCCTTGCCTCCTGCTGGTACATTTTCATGGTGACATTCTTGATTGCTTCTTTCAAAGCTCAGTTTAAAGTAAAGCAGATTGGCTGTGTGTGAAACTCAGGGCCACAGATAGTGGTAAAGTGCATGTTAGATCTCTGGCATCAAAAACAAAGAGGAATTCACCATTACCAAAAAAACCAGACCCTGTTGAAAAAAAATTTTTTTTAACTTATACAACTCTTTTAAGAATAATCAAAGCCAGGAGCAGGTGGCTCACGCCTGTATTCCTAGCTACTCAGGAGGCTGAGATCTGAAGATCATGGTTAAAAGCCTAGACAGGAAAGTCTGTAAGACTTATCTCCAAATAACACCAGAAAACTGGAAGTGGTACTGTGGTTCAAGTGGTAGAGCACTCACCTTGAGCTGAAGAGCTCAAGGACAGCGCCCAGCCCCAGAATTCAAGCTCCATAACCAACTAAAAAATAAAAACAAACAAAAAAGAATAATTTATTGCTTTCTTCTTCCTTTTTACTTCATGTACTTGTATGGAACTCAGTACTTAGAGTACTGCATACTTGGAGTACTATGTTGCTTTTTCTTTGCAATGGTTTACAGGTTTGTTATTTTTTTGTTCATTACCATGGGCATTTAAGTAGGTCTGACAACCTCTATAGTTATGATATGCTGAAAATAAAAAAAGAAAACAGTAAAAGAGGATGTTACAAAGTTATTTTCTACAGGGTCCCTAACATGTAAGTGTAACCTTGAGGTAGAGTTTTGTGAGATGTACTTGTGAGAGTTTAAACTTGCTTGTTGAACAGCTACTACAATTTGTTATTTTATAGGTGTGATTCTCTTGGATACAAAGTAAAAGCAATGTGAACAAGATGCTACTTACGAGTGAAAACTAGGTGTCCTGAAACTAAATGTGTTCATTTTCTGTCAGTCAAGGAGGAACTTTTTCAATGTCTAAACAATATTAATGAACTTTGTAGATTCTCTGTGAATTATACCTGTAGCTAATGAAAGCATGGGTTAGTTCTTAGCCTGTTTCACCAAAGATGATGCTAAGGTAAACTTCCCCCTGTTGAGAGACACAGTCTTCACTTCTCTAATCTTTGTATAAATGTAGAGCTTTGCTCAGTGATGGCCTGAAATGTTTTTTCCCACCCTGCTGGGCTGTACCCTTCCTCAGTCCCTCCTGGCATTTCTCATTTGTAAAGCTGGCTGAGCCTGTTTGTGCTGTTGTAGCTGCCTCAAGGGCAGAATGAGTAAGTTGCATGACGAGCCATAAATTAGGAGGCCCAGACTCATCTTTCCTTCTCTCAAGATCAGGCGTGAAGCCAGTAATTCTAAATGTGACGATCCCTTGATAGGGATTGATACTAAAACAGTTCCACAGAACAACTTTTATTTTTTGTGTTCAGTTCAGGTAAAGATTATGTATTGAACAAGTGTGAGAAAGGACGAGTGTGTGTGTGTGTGTGTGTGTGTGTGTGTGTGTGTGTGTGTGTGTGTGTGTGTGTGTGTAAAAGGAGGCGGTTTGGGCACACAGGAGGTCTGGTGACTTTTCAAAGTTGTTAGCAGCTTAGAGTTGCTGATCCTCCCTGTGTGATGCGCAAAGGAAAACATGTTGGTACGTGTCATGTAGAACCCAGTTGGCCAAATGCCAAAACCATATTCTTAATTAAAAAGGAGTCTTTAGTAAAACGATTCTTTAGCTACAAATAAACTTCACAGATAGGAGACTTTACACTTTGGATCTCTGTTTTACTCACTTGGGTTTTATCTGTGCTTTAGAAAAGCCCTTCAGGAAGGAGTGACATTGTCCAAAAAGAAATATACTCTTCACTTCACTTATGTACCTTTAACCCCTCTGTACATCACCTTTCTAATAACCATAAAAAATCTTTTTTAAAAAGCACCTTAGTACTGCTCAAAACAAGTTTCTTAACCTTTGTGTAGGGAAATAATCAAATAAGAGTTTAATTGTAATTCAAGTTCCATTGCCTGCCAGCTGGGTGACTAAGTGAATTGGGGAACATTTTAAAATTCTGCTTTCTCCATCTTGCTTACTCTTACCTACTTGGGAAGCTATTGTAGAAATTGGAAGGAAGGCTTGGTGATTGATATGAAGTGGCATTTAATGAATGGATCTGTTTATGTCAATATGGTCTTAGAAGTTACTGTTGGCTGCATACAGATTAAATATCAGCACATAGGAAGTGTACTATGCAGAAGAAAAGTAATTTATTGGCAAGATTATATTTGATGGGCTCTTAAATCGATGGTGTAGCCTAGAGCAGTTAGGGAAGGCTTTGGTACTATGTGGCAGTTCTGGTGCAATATGAAAAGTAAGAAAGTTAGATATCTTTTACCATTTATGAGATTAGATGTATCTTAACTAGATGCCCTGTGATGAAGTTACTTGGTGAATGTTCTGGTATGATAACATTATTACAATCTGACCTCAAACTCATGATCCTCAGCCTTCCTAGTACTGAGATTACAGGTGTATACTATTATATTTCATTCTTAAATTGATATACATTATATTTCACTATAAAACTTATATGATACAAATGACTATAGTAGTGAAATGAAAGATGCAATGACTGCTAGTTTCATAAGGTAAATATTTTGATGGAGATACATACTTATTTTGGAGTGTAAATAATAAACACCTATTCTGGTTTTACCCTCAATTTCAATTTGAGCCATATGTTTCCCAGTGTATATATATTGACATGACCTTATTTTAGTTGGACATAGTGACACATGAATATATTTCCAGCACTTTAGAGAATGAGACTAGAGGTTTCCCAGATAACATAGGTTGTGTGTGTATATATGTATGTATGTATGTGCATATATATATGCACATGTGCAGGTATGTGTGACTACTGGGTCCTCGAATTGTTTCTAAAATTTACTCTTAAAGGACTAGCATTTGCTACATTGAAAGAACAGAGATATGAAAGTATTTTGGAAGGGAAGTTTGAGTAAAAGGTCATCAATAATGTAAAATATTCATTTTGGATATTAGGACAAAATTTGTCATTTAATGTCTTGTGGTCTTGAGTGTCATTACCTTTAAGTTACATAGTAATTGTCTTATTTATGCAGTAAAGATGGATACATTGAAAGATTCTTTGCTTTCTTGATAGTATGAAATGTAGAATTCTGACTGCATACACACATTCTCTGTGTGGGTTAATTGTTAGACCTGCCATTTGTTATTACCTAAATAGCCTTTTTAAAAAATCTTGTTGGCAAGCAGGACAGGACTGGACTGACTTGGGCATTTGATTGAAATGGGTAATCAGAGTCTTCATGGAGTACAGGTGAATTTGACTGACGAGAAGCAGCTCTGGACTCTTGGCTCTGTGTGAGCCAAATTTAGGGCTATCAGTACCCTTATTTTACCTTTCCAAAATGTTTCCTTAACTTAATTTCAAAGGTTTAAACTTTGAGAAGAATAGTTCAGTCTCCCGATATGGAGCCTCTCAAGTTGAAGATATGGGAAATATAATTTTAGCAATGATTTCAGAGCCTTATAGTGAGTATTACTATTGTAATAATTTAGTTCTGGTAACTGATCCCACTATTGACTATTATTTGAATTTCTTCCTACAACTTTACTCTCAAGTAGGTAAAATAATGACTTCTATGTTCTCCCCATTTTTAGATCACAGGTTTTCAGATCCAGAGAGAGTAAACTACAAATTTGAAAGTGGCACTTGGTAAGAAGTTGAATAGTATTCATTTGAGGGTTTGTTTTGTGTTTTGTCAGTCATGGGGCTTGAATTCAGGGCCTAGGCGCTGTCCCTGTCAAGGCTAGCACTTTACCACTTAGAGCTGTAGCTCTAAGTTTCTGGTGAGTAATTGGAGGTAAGAGTCTCACAGACTTTCCTGCCTGGGCTGGCTTTGAACTGAGATCCTCACATCTCAGCCTTCTGAGTAACTAAGATTATAAGCGTGAGTCACCGGTGCCTGGCTTCTTTTGAGTTAAAAAAAAATTGTTCTTGAGCTGGGATACAGCTTAGTGGCAAAAGTGCTTGCCTAGCAAGTGCAGCATCCTACATTAAGTCCCAAGTACTAACAAAAAAAATTGTGCTTACTCATTTTGCAACATTTAGCCCCTGTTGTATTTTAGTAACTTTACTAAATGTTTGTGCTGTGGTTTCTTTTGTTAGGTCAGCTATTACTTAAAGAAAGCCTGTATGTTGGCATTAAAAATGTGAAGTGTGGCCTCTTCAGTCATTCACAAGATACACTTTTGGATCTTGTGTTTATATTTGTGATTGTTATTTTAATCTCTTCAAGTCTACCCAATTGGAAAACTTCCAAGGAAAAAAATCATAGGTTTTAAAAGTTTATGGTTTTTGGTGAGATAAGTTAGGTATGTTCATCATATTCTTCATTTTCTTAAAAGTTTGATTGATAGATTGATAGATTATACTGAGATTTAGACTCAAAGCCTGGTACTTGCTTAGGTAAGTGCTCTGCAACTTGACCCACCACTCCTGTCATTAAACCAAAGGAAATAACCAGCAAAGAGTATGAAATGGTGATATCTCTGTTATATTTGTCAATCACTACAGTGTATGAAATTTATGAATAGAAAGTTGTCATAGCTTTGCCCATAGAGAGACTTTGAAGCCTATTCAGTTGTGGAGAAAGTAACTCATTAGAAACATGTAGGATTACTGAAAATATGAATATGAGGAAAGAACATCAAAAGGTATCAAAATGCATAATAGGTGATTTGCAAATGACTCATTAAGGTGTGAGGACTCTAAAGTGTTTCCATAAACACTCTGTGATGGCTCTCTGGTTTGAAAGGGAAACATCTTAATGGCAGACTTCTGACTTCATAGACACATTCCTGAAATGAGTTAATCACTAGTTCTGCTGCCAAATGGGATTTAACCCCTGTATACTGTATACTGAGAATAGATTTTAATCTGTCCTTTTTGGTTTTTGATCAGGCCATGAGGAGATTGGAAGATCTTTGCTTCCTATGAATTGATCCAGGGAGCTTTTGAGTTTATGGCAAACAAGTAGTTCTTTAGCTAATAGATGGTTTCCTGGGTGAATTGGCTGTATTGGACCTACATATGCAGCCAGATTTAGGTGACCTCACTAAAGAATACTTTCTACCCAAACAGTTTCCAAAGTTACAAAGGAAGTCAGTATTGCTAGTTTATCTGAACTCCAGATAAAAGAGACCTGAAATTAGACAAATTGCCTTGAAGGGGGTGGAGTAGTAAATGTCAGACTTACAAGCACTAATACTACAACCTCATATTTTGCTTATCCACAGCAGCAAGATGGAACTTATTGATGATAACACTGTAGTCAGGGCACGAGGTTTACCCTGGCAGTCTTCAGATCAAGATATTGCAAGATTCTTCAAAGGACTGAATATTGCCAAGTTGGTTTTCTTTGATTTGTGTTTTACTCTATTTTGAAGGAATTTAGGGTTTACTCTCATTTTTCTCCTCACTGTGTTGTTTTCTAGCAGCCATCTGTTTTATTTTTTTCAAAGGGGAGGTGCAGCACTTTGTCTAAATGCTCAGGGTCGAAGGAATGGAGAAGCTCTGGTTAGGTTTGTGAGTGAGGAGCACAGAGACCTAGCACTGCAGAGGCACAAACATCACATGGGGACCCGGTACATTGAGGTATGTCCTCATGCCGCCCGACACTTCACTTGTTGAATGGTGAAAGGCTTACAAAACCATGATTTCACGTCTCTTTTTCTCTTAGGTTTACAAAGCCACAGGTGAAGATTTTCTTAAAATTGCTGGTGGTAAGTGCCCTTTATAATACATGGCTTTAGCTAAAAAAAAAAAAAAAGAACTTAAAACCTTACATATATACTAAATAGATGTGCAACATTATGGATTTTTTAAAAATTTCCCAAGGAAACATGAAAACATTTTTTTTCTATTTAAGATAATAAGAAATCACTAATGGTATCAATGAGTTTAATGTACTGTAACATTTGCCCTAAGGCGTAAGCTAACTTTCTGTAGTTAAATAGCCATCAAAAATAAAGATGCACAAGGTGAAAGGTTCATATGCAGTCACTAATAAAAACCAGGCATTGGTGGCTAATACCTGTTATCTGAGCTATTCAGGAGGCTGAGATATGAAAATCCCAGTTCAAAGCCAGCCCTAGGAGGAAATTGTGTGAGACTTTTATCTTCAACTTAAACCACCAGAAAGCCAGAAGTGCGCTGTGGCTCACGTGGTAGAGTGCTAGTCTTGAGAATAGAGAGTTTTAGGGACAGAACCCAGGCCTTGAGTTCAAGCCCCAGGACTGGAAAAAATACACACACACACACACACACACATAATTTATTTGAAGTTTTTATTATTTTTGTATTTTATTAGCATATGCAAGTTATAGAAAATAATGATTTCATTGTATTTTCATATCTAATGTACTATGATCATAAACTCCTACTCCCAAAGTATGTAACTACACTGTGGTCTTTCCTTGAATGTGTAAACTTTTTAACAAAAAGGAAAATAACACACTCAAATTCCTAAATGTATCAACCTACTTCTTTCTTGTAGTTTATAAAGAAGGCAGTTTTATAGATGAGGAAACTAAGGCACAGAAACTAAACTTCACAAATGTCATAACCTAGCAAATAGAATTTAGGCTCAGGCCTTGTGGCCCAAGGGCCTGTGCTACTTGTTACTTTTGTTGTGGTTCTTGAGAATTGGATGCAAGGCTTTGTGCAAGCTCATCACACATGGTACTACTTAGCTCAACCCTACCCAGGACCTATGACTACTATGATGACTTCATACATCCCTGAGAAACATAGATAATTTTCCTTTCCAGTCCTGGGGTTTGAACTCAGGGCCTGGGCTCTATCCCTAAGCCCTCTGCTCAACGTTAGTTTTCTACCACTTGAGCCACAGTGCCACTTTCAGATTTTTCTGTTTATATGGTACTGAGGAATCGAATCCAGGCCTTCATGCATGCTAGGCAAGCACTCTACCACTGAACCATATTCCCTGCCTGAAATACAGATAATTTTTATACTATTTTATCTTGTCAGCTTCCTAAGTTAATGGGCATTTTATGAAAATGCTAGGGGAAGAGTTTCAAAATTTGAGGGAAAATAAAATTCTTACTCCTAAGCTAGTATAAGTTCAGTAGGAGTGTAGTTTGTTTGTTTGTTTTTGGTGGGTCGTGGGGCTTGAACTCTGGGCTTGGGCTCTGTCATTGTGCTCTTCAGCTCAGAGCGCTCTACCGCTTGAGCTACAGCACCACTTCCGGTTTTCTAGTAGTTTATTGGAGATAGGAGTCTCATGGCCTTCCTGCCCGGGCTGGCTTTGAACCTCGATCCTCAGATCTCAGCTTCCTGAGTAGCTAGAATTACAGGCGTGAGCCACCAGCGCCCGGCTGAGTGTAGTTATTTTTAATTCAAAACATTGCCTGGCATTTTATATTATATATTTGACAAAATTGTTGTCTTGACTATATTTCCCCCTGCTTTCGCTAATAATTGTTTTCCCTAGGAACATCCAATGAGGTTGCGCAGTTTCTCTCCAAGGAAAATCAAGTCATTGTCCGGATGAGAGGGCTCCCTTTCACAGCTACAGCTGAGGAAGTGGTGGCCTTCTTCGGTCAGCATTGCCCCATCACTGGAGGAAAGGAAGGCATCCTTTTTGTCACCTACCCAGATGGTAGGCCAACAGGCGATGCTTTTGTGCTCTTTGCCTGTGAGGAATATGCGCAGAATGCATTGAGGAAGCACAAGGACTTGTTGGGTAAAAGATACATTGAGCTCTTCAGGAGCACCGCAGCTGAAGTTCAGCAGGTTGGTTTTTAAGAGTAGATGGGAACCTTCACATCAATTTCATTTTAATTGTTTTAGATTAAGTTGTGGTATTTTGTTTACTTAATAAGTACTTCTTAAATGAAAATCACAATGTCATGGGAAAAAATAATGATGATGAGGTATTGGCACATGTAATGAGTGTTAACTTCTGTTCTTTACCATACATTATTCAGTCTAAAAACTTGGAGAATGTAGTAAGTATTGGTGCATGAAATAGTCTCATTCTGTGACCAAAAAGGAGCCTTACCTTGTTGCATGCACAGGAAATAGTTTGTGTGTATTCTTGTCTAATATTTGTAGGTCATACCTTGAAAGTTTGCTTGTGTTTAAAATTTTTCATCTTCAAATGAATGTCATTGAGGTACATATTTGATTTATACATTCTTGTATTATTGTGCATTGGGGTTGTTTGCTTTTCTTCTACAAAGAAAAGATATTCCTGCACAAGCATACTAGTAAAGCTTACCATCAATTTTTGATTGATTTTTTTTTTTTTTTTTTTTTTTGGTATTTGGCAGGTATTATAAAATGCTTAGTTGTTTCTTGTCATATAGAAAATCAGTTATTATCTATCTTTATGATTACTAACTTTTTAAAAGTTTGTGTCCGGGGCTGGGTAGAGTAGTCTAGCACTCTACCATTTGAGCCATAGCACCACGTCTGGCTTTTTCTGTTTATGTGGTACCGAGGAATCGAACCCAGGGCTTCATGCATGCTAGGCAAGCACTCTACCACTAAGCCACATAAGAGTTTCACGGATTTTCCTGCCTGGGCTGGCTTTGAACTGTGATCCTCAGATCTCAGCCTCCTGAGTAGCTAGCAAACAGCTGACTTTTTTAAGATACTTGTCATAATTGTTGTGCTTGTCCAGGTTGACACAACCTTAGATTCTGACATGTCTTCTTATACATTGGGCAGAAGTAGGTACCACAGTTTGTCAGCTGAATTGCCCAGATGTCTCCATCAGTACTTCTGAAACTTGAATGCACTTAACTCACTCAAGGACCCTGCTAAAAATTTCTAGAGTAGAGCAGAGACAGCATTTCTCTTGGTTTTTGTACTAGGGTTTCAGCTTCTGGCATTATACACATTAAGCATGTGCTCTCTGCACATATTAAGTGTGCACTCTGTATATATTAAGTTTGTATACATTTTTCTGTATGTGTTAAGCATAAGCTTTGTGTCACTGAGCTGCAACCAGCTTCTGGACTGCATTTCTAACCAGCTCTCAGGTGAATCCATTACTCGGCTGCAGACGGCATTAGAACAAGAAGACTAAATCGCTTGTGTTTTGCTTTGCATATAGGTGCTGAATCGATTCTCCTCTGCCCCTCTCATCCCACTTCCAACACCTCCCATTATTCCAGTACTACCTCAGCAATTTGTGCACCCTACCAACATTAGAGACTGTATACGCCTTCGAGGTCTTCCCTATGCGGCCACAATAGAGGACATCCTGGAGTTCCTGGGGGAGTTTTCTACAGATATACGTACCCATGGGGTTCACATGGTATTGAATCATCAGGTAAAAAAAGTTGGGTAGCTGACCTGCTTGTTTCCAGTGAAAAAATGCTTTCTTTTATTAAAAGAATCAATATTTGTTGAGGGAAAAAAAAACTATAATAGGGACTCATTTTTAGACCCCCCCCCCCCCCCCCCCCCCCCCCCCCGCACACACACACACACACATGGAGGGTTTCTCTACTTTTGTGGTTTCTCTACTTTTGTGGAGCTGGGAAGGTGGCTCAGTGGTTGAGCGCTTGCCTTGCATGCCTGAGGCCCTGGGTTCCATTCCCCAGCACCACATAAGCAAAAAGAAAAAAGCCGGAAGTGGCGCTATGGCTCAAGTGGTAGAGCGCTAGCCTTGAGCTAAAGAGCTGAGGGACAGCGCCCAGGCCCAGAGTTCAGGCCCCACGACCGGTCCCAAAACAAACAAATATACTTACTGTGTTTACCTTTAAAATATATGTAAGCCGGGCGCTGTGGCTCACGCCTGTAATCCTAGCTACTCAGGAGTCTGAGATCTGAGGATCGCGGTTCAAAGCCAGCCCGGGCAGGAGAGACCGTGAGACTCTATCTCCAATAAACCACCAGAAAATCAGAAGTGGCGCTGTAGCTCAAGTGGTAGAGCGCTCGCCTTGAGCTGAAGAGCTGAGGGACAGCGCCCAGGCCCAGAGTTCAAGCCCCACGACCGACAAAAAAAAAAAAAAAAAAAAAAAAAAAAAAAAAAAAATATATATATATATATATATATATATATGTATGTATGTATATGTATATACACATACACATGCATATAAGAAGTCTTTAGAGTATACTCCAGAAAAGGATACTATTACTATGATAATTCACATGGTAATTGAAATTCAGCTTTGATTTTTCTCATCACATAAATCTACTATTTATCAGTAGTCTCAGATAAGAACTAAATATAACAGCAGTGCATATAACACTTGTTGCAGCATCTCTGTTGTTTTCATGTCAGTGGTCACAGACAAATCTGTTTACAACATGAACATCCTGTGTGTTTTGTATCCACAGGTTCTTATATAATGACATTTCACAATTTTTTGTTAATATGTTAGACATCAAATTCTAGTCAATAAAATGTAAAATTGGGCTGAGAAGGTGGCTCAGTGGTAGAGCGCTTGCCATGCATGCATGAGGCCCTGGGTTCGATTCCTCAGCACCACATAAGCAAAAAGCTAGAAGTGGTGCTGTGGCTCAAAGTGGTAGAGTGCTAGCCTTGAGTTGAAGAGCTGAGGGACAGCGCCCAGGCTCAGAGTTCAGGCCCCACGACCGGACCAAAAATAAATAAATAAATAAATAAAATGTAAAATTATTGCTAATTTGTATCTATGCCCTCTATTAACAGTGTGTGGAGCTTACAGGCACACAGCTATATTAAGAAATGAATTGTTGGGAATGGGAATATGGCTTAGTGGTAGAGTGCTTGCCTAGGATGCATGAAGACCTGGGTTCAATTCCTCAGTACCACATAGCAGGAAAAGCCAGAAGTGGTACTGTCGCTCAAAGCGGTAGAGTGCTAGTCTTGAGTGAAAGAGCTCAGGGACAGTGCCCAAGCCCTGAGTTCAAGCCCCATAACTGGCAAGAAAAGAAAAGAAAGAAATGAATTGTTGAGTCCTCTGTCAATATCTGTTTGAATTCTTTCAGTGTGTCAATGTAAGCTATTTCTTCCTATGATGCAACTTATGGGTTAAAGGAAATTTAAAAATGTAGGCTGTCAGTGCTTTGTGCTAGCTTAAACAGGAAAAATATGAATACTCATAAGCCAAGCAGTTCTAATTGATAGAAGGTAAAATTGTATTGTTTTGGAAAACAAATTTTTGAGTATTATAAGTGGAATATGGTCTTATAATGGAAAAACTAAATTTTTTTCCTGTTATCTCCTACTTTTTCTTTCACTTGGAGGTCTGGTCACTTTTATAGGTATAATCTTGTCTCACTGGGAGGCACGTGCCATTTTGCACAAGGAATCGGAAACCTTCCTCAGCCCTTGCTTAGTTTCTACACCAGCACATACTCATTCTAACTCTTGCATTCATTTTAAGCTGCACACCTTCTTACCTCACACCTCTCTTAGCATGCTTCACTGGTTAAAGTCCTTTTGAATACATGTCTCCACAATCGAGCATCACCAGCGAACTACTTCTTTTTGAGTCATGTTTCTAATACATTAGAGGTCATTCCTCTTTGGTTAACAACAGTGGACAGATTCGCCTGTCATTTGACCATTTAAAAATGCTAATCATTTAAAAATGATGGACAAACTCTTAGTTACCCTGAAGATGTTAGGTTTCTATCTTGGACTGTGTTTGTTGCTAATTTCCTTGGTATGGCAACTCTTATGGTAACTTGCATGGTAATTGGATCACGTACTTCCTAGGAAACATTTAGACGGAACTATAAAAAAAGAAAGCAGGAAGTGTCACTGTAGCTCAAGTGGTAGAGTGCTAACCTTGAGCTGAAGAGCTGAGGGACAGTGCTCAGGCCGAGTTCAAGCCCCATGACTGACAAAAAAAAAAGAAAGCAGAACTATAAACCAGTTTGGTCTGTTTCTGCCACACAAAAATGTTCATGGTAAAGCAAAAGTATTCCAAGTTTTTGTAACAGAAATCTGTAAGTTGTTTATAAATAGGGATATTTAGCAAACTACTGTGTAGCTCCCAAATAAGACTGGTGGGTCACTACCCAACACTGGGCCCTTAAGCTACATTCCAACATTGGAAGCAAAGCAAAAGGGACTTGGCGGGTCAGTGATAGATGAGCACTGAGAGCCAAAAGACAATTCTGGCTTGTCCTATTTCCTGTAGGAGGATATGTAAAGCTTTAAGACTGGTTCTGTTCCTAGCTTTTCCCAATCAAATGAGACTTAATCGGATTTTTCAGATGGGGAATGGAGGGAGGGGGAGAATCCAATATGCAATCCTATATTTTGAAGTTGGCAGTCACAAGGAGACCTTTTCAAAACCTTGTAAATCGGATACTAATTTGACAGAAACCAAGAAGGATCACTTTCAGCTATGAGCTCTCAAAACTGTTCCTTCACGGTTTTGTGGTCCATTAGGGGATAAAACACACATCAGATTTCATCCACTCACACTGTCACCCAGATTTTGTGGCTAAATATGTCTGTACTATGGGTGATTGTCACTTTGCATGTTTTGTAAGCAACCATTCATTTCCTTGTTGAAGGAGACAGTCTCCTTTTGTTTTTATTCTTCCCCTACACCCTCAGGGCCGCCCATCAGGAGATGCCTTTATCCAGATGAAGTCTGCGGACAGAGCATTTATGGCTGCGCAAAAGTGTCATAAAAAAACCATGAAGGACAGATATGTTGAAGTCTTTCAGTGTTCAGCTGAGGAGATGAACTTTGTGTTAATGGGGGGCACTTTAAATCGAAATGGCTTATCCCCACCGCCATGTAAGTTACCATGTAAGTTTTTCTTGGGTCTTGGCGCTATTCTACGCTGTATGCTGGTAGGTGCTTAAGCTGCTTTCATAACTTTCTGTGTCCCTGGTTCTTTCTGAGGCAGGCAAGGTGGTTATATAAGGCTTTCCCATCTGAAATCAGTAGTATCTGGTAATCATTTAAGACCTTGGTTGTGGACACCCATAATTAGAGATGCTCCAAATACCTCCTTTCAAATTTTATTCTTGCTTTTCCAGTGATAAGCACGTGGTTTCTGAAGCTTAGTGTGTTCCAGATAAGCACTGACTCTGGGAGGCAACCTGGCTTTGTAGATTTTTAATATGCATTTAAAGGGAAAATAAATGGATAATTGGATGCTTTCCCCGTCCCCCTCTTAAATGCATTAAGCTTTATGAAGAATGATTGACACCTGCTTTTCATTTTTTGAATATCAATTGTGGTTTGTGAGTGACAACCTGGAGAGCATTTCTATTGCTTGCCAGGATGTCTAGAATGAGTGAGTTAGTAAAAATACATAAATGCGTAAACAATTGAGCCAAAGTTTCCATTGGGTCGCAGGATCAGTGCTTAATTCCAAACCATGCTCTTGCTCGTTGGCATCTGGGTGCAAGCCATCTGAAATCCTGTTCCGGGAGGAATAAGCCCCGTATTTATATTTGTAGAGAGCAAGTCCTAGTTAGTGACTTAAGGAATGTTTGAGAATCTAATGTTAAAGCTGGAGGCTTTTTTGTTATTTTAAATGAAGTTTTCACCTTTATGTAAGACAATAACCTTGTTATGCATGTTGGAGATGTTTAAAGAACATATTATTTGGAATACAGTTCAAACATATGCTTCATTCCCAAAAAGAGTATAGATGTAGAAGATTAGTTTTACTTTATAGTAAAAAGGGATCCATGCCAGTTAGTCAATTTTATGAAATATTACTTGTAGAACATTCAGTGGGGCTTAGTCCTTTTCTCCCTTTGGAGTTCTTCAGTGCTAATATTCCACTTACCTGCTGCTTGCTGTTGGTGAATATTTGAAGAGTTAATTGTGAATGAGCATAAAGTTTTGAAAGTTTGTAACTAGGTTTAAGAAAATATCCTGACGTAATCTTACTTGTATGTTTTCTATGCAAAAATGACTGAAAATGTAGAAGTTGTTACAGTATTGTTTAGTGACAATCTATATGAAATAGACGAAGTTCTGAAGCTGGGCACAATGGCTCACGCCTGTAATTTTAGCGAATCAGTGTGCTGAGATCTGAGGATCAAGGTTCAAAGCCACCCAGGCAGCAAACTCCATGAGATTTTTATCTGCAACTAACCTGCAAAAGCTAGAAATGGAGGTAAATATAAGTGATAGAATGACAGCATTTAGCAACAAAGCCAAGAGACATCATAAGGCCCTGAGTTCAAGCACTAGTACCTGCATACATGCATACACACAGAAAAATAAAACAACTAAGTTCCTTTTCAGGTATGACCCAGGTTTCTATGTTGTGATATCCTTTTACTTTTTTCTCTTCCTGAAGGAAAACTGCTTTTTGCACGCTTTATTTTTTTCCCTCCCTTTTGCCTAAGGAAAAAATTTCAATACACAGTTCACAAAAGAATATTTTATATGCATGCATATGTAGGTAGACATATGTATATACTCATGTGTACAGATATGTGTGTATAATATACCATTTAAAGGTATATAAGTAAATGTATACCTGCATTATAGTTCATGAAGGCAGTTACCCATATGAATGCATATATGTATATAATTTATAGGTATCTAATGTCTTTCTCTCTGTCTCTTTCTCTCTCTTTTTCCATATATATGTAGAGTTGTACTGAGGTTTGAATTCAAGACTTTATATTTGCCAGTCAGGTACTCTATTGTTGGAGCCATGCCTCCAGCACAAAGAATTTTTGTATCTTTTAATATTTTTCAAAAATACAGTATTTTTTATGTTTTGAATACAAACCCTGGTTATGTTCATATTTACCATGCTTTGTAGTTTAAAAATTTTTTTTTTTGTCGGTCGTGGGGCTTGAACTCTGGGCCTGGGCGTTGTCCCTCAGCTCTTCAGCTCAAGGCGAGCGCTCTACCACTTGAGCTACAGCGCCACTTCCGGTTTTCTGGTGGTTTATTGGAGATAGGAGTCTCACGGTCTCTCCTGTCCGGGCTGGCTTTGAACCACGATCCTCAGATCTCAGCCTCCTGAGTAGCTAGGATTACAGGCGTGAGCCACCAGCGCCCGGCTTTAGTTTTAAAAAATTTTAATTGTTATTATAAAGGTGATATATAGAGAAATACAGGAATTTTAACCACAGTTTTTCCATTTCTCTTCATTGAAGTTTATTTCTTTATGAATGACCAGTCTGCCTAGCACCAGTGTCTTATTTCCTAGCTCCTCAGGAGACTGAGATCTGAGGATTGTGGTTTGAAGCCATTCTGGACAGGACAGTTTATGAGACTTTTATCTCCAGTTAGCTGGAAGTAGAGTGGGGTTCAAGTGGTAGAACCTTGAGGGAAAAAGCTAACAGCCATCACCCAGGCCCTGAGCTCAAGCCCCAGGATTGTACAGCAAATAGAATGACAGAGAGAGAAAGAAAATCATGTATATCTGCTAATATTGAACTTGTTCTGCTGAACTTTTTTCCTGTCAGTATACTTTTAAGTCACTGCCTAATTACACAGCAAATACAAAAATAGTGATTGTTAACATAGTTAAAGTTTTTAACATTTACATTGGTTAACACTCTCCACTGAGAGATCTTTTTTGAAAATTTCATTTGGCAAAGAGATGCTGTCAAAATCTTGATTTTTAAATTTCATCATTTTAATGTCATTTAATGATATGTGAATGAGTATAAAGTTTTGAAGTTAACGAAGTGCATTTTATGGTCAACTTGATTTTTAGGAATATAAAAATAGAAGTACTTTCATTTAAGAAACACATAAATCTTTAGCAAGAGCATCTCTTTAGTTAAGAATTTCTACCATTTGGGAGTGGCGCTGTAGCTCAAGTGGTAGAGTGCTCCCTTAAGCTGAAGAGCTGAGGGACCGTGCCCAGGCCCAGAGTTCAAGCCCCAAAACCAACCAAAAAAAAAAAAGAATTTTTACCATCCCATTTTTCTTTCCTTTTTTTTTTTGCCGGTCATGGGGCTTGAATTCTGGGCTTGGGCACTGTCCCTCAGCTCTTCAACTCAAGGTTAGCACTCTACCACTTGAGCTACAGCACCACTTCAGGTTTTCTAGTGGTTTATTGGAGATAGGAGTCTCACGGTTTTTCCTGCCTGGGGTAGGCTTTGAACTGAAATCCTCAGATCTCAGCCTCCTGAGTAGCTAGGATTACAGGCGTGAGCCACCGGCGCCTGGCCTACCATTCTATTTTTCTTTTTTGAAGTAGAACAGACATATCTGTTATGTCTTCCTTCCTTTCCACCCTCCTCTCCCTTCCCTTCATTTCCTTCTCCCTCCCTCCTGCCTTCCCTCCCTTCCCCCCTCTTTCTTTCTTCTTTCTTTCTTTTTCTTTTTTCCTTTCCTTTCCTTTCTTTTCCTTTTCTTTCTTTTTGTTGGTAATGGGGTTTGAACTCAGGGCCTGGGAACTCTCCCTGAACTCTATTGCTCAAGGATAGCACTCTAATACTTTGAGCCTCAGTGCCACTTCTATATGTTTTCTTAATGTTGTTCCACATTGTCTATAATGAATTGCTTCACTAGATGTAAAATCAGAATATGCACATTGTTAATATAATTTTCTATGATACTTCAGTTTGTATTATTTTCTATGGGGTTCCTTAAAAATAGCGATCATATTTCAAACTATAAGTATCAGGGAAAGTGAAGGAAGGGATAACATTGCCCGAAAAGAATTGTGTAAATTATCTATTTGTGGAATTGTAACTCCTTTGTACACTCCTTAATAACAATAAAAATTGCATGTGCACACACACACACACACACACACAAACACAAACTGTGTTTAGCGCAATTATTTTTGTGTGTGCCAGTTCTGGGGTTTGAACTCAAGGCCTGGGTCTGTGCCTGAGCTCTTTCCACTCAAGGCTTGAACTCTACCACTTAAGCAATAGGTCAGTTTTCAGCTTTTTACTGATAAGTCTCCTAGCTGGTTTTGAACCATGATCCTCAGGTCTCAGCCTCCTGAGTAGCTAGGATTATAGGTGTGAGCTAACAGCACCTGGGTTAGCACAATTTTTTTTAAATGAATATAAAAGAGGTACCACAGCAAGGCATGGGATGATACATTCCTGTGATCCCAATATTTGGGAGGCTGAAACAGGACGATTTAAGTTTTGAGACTATACAGCAAGACCCTCAAGAAAAATGAAGGACTGGGAATATAGCTTAATAGTTGACCATTTGTCTAGTATAGTTAAGAACCAAAGTTCAGTCCTCAGAACCATGGCAGGCAGAGGGAAACACAATGCAAGAGGCGCCTACAATTAAATATGAAATCAGTATTGTCCTTTGTTCTGTATCCCCATATTCCACTGACTAATTGCTCATCTCCATAGATGTGGAGAATACCCATAAGAACAAAATGAGAATGGGAAGTTATCTTAGAAATTTTTTTTTGTTTGCAAGTTTCCCATGAGCCTTTGCTGCTTGAGTAATCTAATCTTGTGGTTCTATATGCAAAACTTAATCTCAGATTCAGTCAACTCAGTTTCCTCTTCTCAGTACACATAGTCTGGCTGGTTGTGTTCATCCAACATGTAAAAGCTAGTCACCAGCAATGTCTCTAACTTTAGATTTTCTGAATAGGGAAGATTCAGAAAGCAAAGAGATCCCCCTAGCCCACCCCTGCCAATGGTGCTGGAGATGGAACTTGGGTCCTCACATGTTCTAAATATGCACTCCACAAGTTAACTGTGCCTTCCATCTGTGGGCTCTCTTCTATTTGTTCTGAGCCAGCTTTTTTATCAGCTAACTCTTAGGGAAGACCAGGGCATGTGGATCTCCAAGTCTATTTCCCATGTTGGATTTTTTTCCCCTTCTGATACTGGAGTTTAATCTCAGGGCCTCACAGTTGCTAGGCAGGCATTCTACTGCAGGGTTACCCCTTTAGTCCTTGTTTGCAATGCTTACTTTTGAGGTAGCATCTCCCTTCTTTCCCAAGTACATGCATGGACTATAATCCTGCCAAAGCTGTGAGGATAGGCTCTTTCTGCCATGCTTAGTTTCTCAAGTTGAGATGGATTTTCCTGCCTAGGCTGACCGGGAACTATAGTCTACCTTGTTTCAGGCTTCTGTGTAGCTGGAATGACAGGTGTATGCTACCATGTCCAGCCTAATGGCTTATTAGTGTTCTTGCAAACTTTTTGTCTGGATTGGTCTAGAAGTGCAATCTTTCCAATCTCAGCTTCCAAATAGGGTTATAGGCATAAGCCACGCGGCATCTTGTCTGGCTTAGACTTTTATTTTCTTCAACAGCTTTGAAGATGTAGATTAGTTTCAAAGGCCATGTATTGAATTTCCTTTAATGAACAAACTTGGTCTATTCCCTTTGGGTCAGTTCACTGTGGCGCAGAGTATGCTTGGTATAGTTTAGAGTGAAATGTTTTTAATCTTTTCCATTTCATGCTGTAATAAAAGCTAGCTACGTTGCATGGAATGGTAGGAAAAAGTAATGGTCTTTTCCTTCAAAATGTATAGCTAGAAGAGTGCCTTTATGACTGTTGTGTCTGTTAAGAACATGTCTAAAGGCTCTCTCTTTGCTTGTTTAGGCCTGTCTCCTCCCTCCTACACATTCCCAGCTCCAGCAGCAGTGATTCCTACAGAAGCTGCCATTTATCAACCCTCTGTACTTTTGAGTCCACGAGCGCTACAGCCCTCCACAGCCTACTACCCAGCAGGCACTCAGCTCTTCATGAACTACACAGCGTACTATCCCAGGTAAGCCTCTGAAGGAAGTGGAAGGAAGGAACTGAAACAAAGAACTTCTTTGATGGCCAGCCCTCAAATACACAAAAGAATATTGTCTGCCACGTCGAAGGTTAGCATTAAGAGGCTACATTTTCTGGTTATATCTCTGACCAAGAAAATTGTTTCAAGATAAACTGAAAGAAGTTTATTTTTTAACCACCTATGGATAGCAAAACCTTTCAGTTCACCTATGCATTCAGCTTCCCCTATTTACTCCTGTTAGCACAGCCATTTAAATGAGTAGCTCTGTGATCCTTGAGATAGAGTGGCCATATCAAGGCAATAAATTGTGAAACAGGAAAATCCATAATGAACCATTGTATTATTTTTATTTTTCAATAGCATGATCTGGTGTCAATCCACAATAAATAAAAACTGTTGCTTGAAATTTTTGAGGGCTTAAATTCTTTTCCTCTTACATCTTTAGTATAAACAAATCCAGAATTGCATATACAGTATTATCATGGAGTCATTATATTTTAAGTATTTTCTAGTTGCAATTAATTTCTGGGAAGCAGCATGGTATAATGGAAAGATGGTCAGTTGGAGAACTGGGAGATGTGAGTTTTAATTTCGTAAATTTTAACTAGGACAAACCCTTTAACATTTCTGGATCTGTAAAATAATGGGATATTTATTGGCCAACATTTGGGGTCCCTTTTAAATCTGTGCCAGTGACTCTATGTGAGTATGATAATGGCCTGGACTAACCTCTCTGACCCCTGCATTTGTTATATTGAATTGTATTTTTCTTCTTCCTCCAATGTAGACTTCATGCAAGAAGTTTGGGGATCTCTCAGGAGACCCTTTTAATTATATTTTGTTCACTGCCATTGAAAGTATTCTAACAATAAGAATTGGAAGAAAGACATGAAGGGGGAAAAACAGGCATGAAAGTTGTCAGCTTGTTGTCTTTGAAGACTTGGAAAGGTCTTGGGTGTTACTCAGTGGTAAAATACTTTCGCAACATGCTCCGTGCCCTGTGTTTGATTCCTGGCACTGTGAAGGAAAAAAGAAAAAAGATCAAGAGCACGAGGAAACTGTTCATGCTTGAGTCCCAAGCCAGACACCTAGCCCAACACAGTTTTTTCACTTCTGGAGTCTCGGACAATTGTTTGATGCTGTTGGGCTCTGGTTACCCTACCCTGTCTTATATCATCAGAATGTGAGGCTGGAATGCCTGGTGCACTTATCTGTTCTATAGTTCCTTTCCATAATAACCAGTTCCATTATGGACTTGCTATTTAGGCTCTTTTAAAAGAAAGAATTCCTTAGAAGTGAGATCATGAGCAATGAATTGAAGACCCCAAGGCAGGAAGAATTGACATTTGTGGCTTAATTGCTTGGGCAGTTTTGGTCCCCTGCCTGTTAATTCTTTTGCAACTAGTGGTTTTAAAGTTCATAAGGTGGGGGCTGGGAAGGTGGCTCAGTGGTAGAGCGCTTGCCTTGCATGCCTGAGGCCCTGGGTTTGATTCCTTAGCACCACATAAGCAAAAAGAAAAAAGCCGGAAGTGGCGCTGTGGCTCAAGTGGTAGAGCGCTAGCCTTGAGCTGAAGAGCTGAGGGACAGTGCCCAGGCCCAGAGTTCAGGCCCCATGACCGGACCGCCCCCCCCAAAAAAAAAAAAGTTCTTGAGGTGCTCATTATTTAATGCTAAGATTATAGAAGTATAGTGCATAAAAGTATATGACTCCCATTTCATGTACCTCCTAATCTAAATGTGTCTATTATTATTATTGGTGGTGGTGGTGGTGGTGGTGGTGGTTGTGGGTCTTGAACTCTGGACCTGGGTGCTGTCCCTCAGCTCTTCAGCTCAAGGCTAGTGCTCTACCACTTGAGCCACAGCGCCACTTCCAGTTTTCTGGTGGTTTATTAGAGATAAGAGTTTCACGGACTTTCCTGCCCGTACTGGCTTTGAACTGTGATCCTCAGATCTCAGCCTCCTGAGTAGCTAGGATTACTAGCGTGAGCCACGGGTGCCCGGCTAATTTGACATTTTTTTAAACTTGTCTATCTGCCTCAGGAAGAATGGTATACCTGTATAATAACTTTATTATTTTGATGTCTGAAAAGTAAAAACTACCAAAACAATAGTTCTTACTTTCAGATATTTAAACTTCAATTTTTTGTTTACCAGAGCTGCTAGTGATTTTTTCTTCTTCTTTTTCTTTTCTCATAATCATCTTCAAACACTTTTATTTCTATGCAAAGATTTGATAGAAGTAGAATTTGTTTTGTTTTGTTTTGTTTTTTTTGGTTGTGGGGCCTGAACTCGGCCTGGACGCTGTCCCTCAGCTTTTCAGCTCAAGGCTAACACTCTGCCACTTCAGCCATAGCACCACTTCGGGCTTTTTCTGCTTATGTGGTGCTGGAATCGAACCCAGGGCCTCATACATGCAAGGCAAGCACTCTACCACTGAGCCAACTTCCCAGCCCAGAAGTAGAGTTTTTGAATTGTAATATGCACTATGTTTCCAAATTAACCAATATTTATATATTTTTTTATTTGCTGGTGTAGGACTTGAACTCAGGGTCTGTGTGTTATACCTGAGCTTTGTTGTGCAAGGTTGGCACTCTACCACTTGAGCCACAGCTTCAATTCTGGCTTTTGGGTGTCTAATTGGAAATAAGAGTCTAACAGACTTTCCTGCACAGGCTAGCTTCAAACCATTACCCTCAGATCTCAGCCTCCTGAGTAGCTAGGAGTCATCAGCATCCAGCTTAATGTATTACTTAGAATAGCAATTCCCTAACTCTACTGAAATTATTCACAAAAACTTATGAAACTTTGCAAGTATAATGGTTTGCATATTTTTATTCTTGAAAATCTAGCCTTTTTTTTTTTTTTGCAATGGTAGGATTTAAACCTGTGACCTTGTACTTGTTGAGTAAGTGCAGCTCTATCATTTTGTTACATCCTAGCATGGAATAATTTGAAAAAAAATCTCAAGAACAAAATAGGGCTGGGAAGGTGGCTCAGTGGTAGAGCGCTTGCCTTGCATGCCTGAGGCCCTGGGTTCGATTCCTCAGTACCACATAAACAAAAAGAAAAAGCTGGAAGTGGCGCTGTGGCTCAAGTGGTAGAGTGCTAGCCTTGAGCTGAAGAGCTGAGGGACAGCGCCCAGGCCCAGAGTTCAGGCCCCATGACCGGACCCCAAAAAAACAAAAACAAAACCAGAACAAAATATTAGGGCTGTGAATATGGCTTAGTGGTAGAATGATTGTCTAGCATGCATGAAGCCCTGATTTGATTCCTTAGTACCAGATAAAAAGAAAAAAAACAGAAATGGCTCAAGTGATAAAGTGATACGTATCTTGAGCAGAAGAAACTCAGAGACAGTGCCTAGGCCCTGAGTTCAAGTTCCAAGACTGGCTATCTATGTATATCTGTGTATATATGTGTGTGTATATATGCATATGTGTGTGTGTGTGTGTGTAAGTGTGTAAGCTGGAATCTGGTACCTAACACCTGTAATCCTAGCTACTTAGGAGACTGAGATCTGAGGACTGCATTTCTTAGCCAGCCCAGACAGGAAAGTCCATGAGACTCTTATCTCTGATAAACTACTCAGAAAAGGCTGAAGTGGTGCTATGGGCTCAAGCACTAGCCTTGAGCTACAAAGAGGCTTAGGGTCAGCACCCAGGCCCTGAGTTCAAGCCTCACTGGCAAAGACAAAAACACAGAAAGAGAAAGATAAGAGATCAAGCAAGCAAGAAAGGAAAAGAAAGGAAAGAAAGAAAAAGAAAGAAAGGAAGAGGGAGGGAGGGCTGGGAATGTGGCCTAGTGCTAGTGTGCTTGTCTAGCATGCATGAAGCCCTGGGTATGATTCCTCAGTACCATATAAATAAAAAGCTGGAAGTGGTGCTGTGGCTCAAGTAGTAGAACTTGAGCAAAAAAGTAGCTAAGGGACAGTGTCCAGGCCCTGAGTTCCCGTCCTAGGACTGGCAAAAAACAAAAACAAAAAAGGGCTGGGAAGGTGGCTCAGTGGTAGAGTGCTTCCCTTGCATGCATGAGGCCCTGGGTTCGATTCCTCAGCATAACATAAGCAGAAAACTCCAGAAGTAGCACTGTGGCTCAAGTGGTAGAGTGCTAGCCTTAAACTGAAAAGCTGAGGGACAGCGCCCAGGCCCAACCCATGACTTACCCCCTCCCCAAAAAACCCCAAAAAACAAACTAACGGAAGGAAGGAAGGAAGGAAAGGAAGGAAAGGAAAGGAAAGAAGGAAGGAAGGGAGGAAGGAAAGAATAGAAAAAAAGAAGGAAAGGAACAGAATGCTTACAATTTGGGTAGAATATTAATATATTAAATCAATTTATTTTTTTACTTGGGATTGGACTCTTGTCTTTTTTTTTATTGTGAAAATATTGTACAGAGGTGTTACAATTACATGGGCAAGACAATGAGTACATTTCTTATCAAGCATTGTAGCCTCCTCTGGACTCTTGTCTTCTATTGATAGGTATGTACACCGCCACTTTAGCTACACTCCACAAACAATATGGATATATCTTTTTTAATATGGAAATTTTAAACTCTTGAGAGGGCCTATAGAAGATTTCAATATATGGAGATACAGGCCATGCCTATGGACTTTGGAAGAATCAATATTGGAAACATTGAGGAATATGCCAAAAAGCATTTCAGATTGAATGCATTTCTTTTTTTTTTTTTTTTTGTCGGTCGTGGGGCTTGAACTCTGGGCCTGGGCGCTGTCCCTCAGCTCTTCAGCTCAAGGCGAGCGCTCTACCACTTGAGCTACAGCGCCACTTCCAGATTGAATGCATTTCTAATAAAATCTATTAGCAGTGTATTTGTAGGAAGCTAATAGAAGAAGATGAAAGTACAGGAAAAACTGTGATAACTCTTGCGGAAGAGGAAGAAGCAGGGAGGGCTTACTCTAAACATTAAGACTGTGTGTGTAGTGTGACCTATATGCTAGGGTAGTCACACAGACAAACAGAACCAAGTAGATGCCCAGAAACAGACAAGTACTTTCTGTTTTAATCTGTTGAGCTGCTACAGTTCATACCATAGACTGGGCGCATATCTACAAGGGAAACAATACTTGTTTTCAACTTAGTGTGACAATAGGGCCATTTCAGCCTACTGAAAAGATTAGCTACCTGAATAATTTTTATTTATTTTGATCTGTTTTCTGATAGGTAGAAAAGTCCAAGATGGCAATACTGAAGGCTATTTTTTTATATATATACAAAGGATATTTAATCAAGCTCTGGTGTTTCCTTTTTTTATTTGAATTTAATCGTTTTTTGGTTGTTTTTTTTTAAATTGTGTGTGCACGAGCTTGCATGCCAGTCCTGGGGTTTGAACTCAAGTCCCTGAACTTTTTTTGCTCAAGGCTTGAGCCACAGCACCACTTTGACTTTTTCTGAGTAGCTGATGGGAGATAAGAGGTCTCACAGCCTGGCTTCAAACTGCTGTCCACAGTACTCATGAGTAGCTAGGATTACAAGTACAAACCACCTGTGCCCAGCTTAAATTTTATTATTATTTTATTTTATTTTTTGTCGGTTGTGGGGCCTGAACTCCGGACCTGGGTGCTGTCCCTCAGCTATTTATCTCAAGGCTAGCATTCTACCACTTGAGCCATAGTACCCGTTCTGGCTTTTTCTACTTATGTGGTACTAAGGACTTGACCCCAGGGCCTCATGCATGTAAGGCAAGCACTCTACCACTGAGCCACCTTCCCAGACCTTTAATTTTATTTTTAACCAATTCTTAGAGTGCAAGTCATCATGCAAGCTATTTGAACCTATGAGGACCTGGAGATTAAAGTTCACTATGTATATATGTAGTCCACACTGGCCTCAAACTTCCTTCCTTCCTCAGGCTCTGGAGTTTTGGAATGACAGGGTTGTACAACACCCAGCTTCAAAAAAAAAAAAGTTAATGGATTTTAAATTATTCTATTTCTGCCTTTTAGTTTAATTGACCAATCTATGAGCACCTTTTAAGCAAATACAAGCACCTTGTAAGTGTGATGTATTGAACACATTTTAGATAATAAAACATGGACTCTTTCTCATGTAGTGTAGCAGGCAGATGTGTAACTATGCAAAGTCAGTGCCATTGGACTGACTCCTTCGGCTAGAACTACAGGACCTTTGTCTCTGTTTTATCTCCTGTAACTTAGTATATTGAAAACTCTGAAGATAAGCTCTGTAGCCACTTTTTCTTACAGTACAGTGTCTTTCATCATAAGGACAGGTTACTTATTTCAGTAACATTGAAGGAGAAAACATGAAATTAAAGAATGACCGTAATTCTTTTTCTGGTTGTGGGGACTGAACTCTGGGCCTGAGCACTGTCCCTCTGCTCTTCAGCTCAAGGCTAGTGCTCTACCACTTGAGCCATAGCACCACTTTCGGCTTTTTCTGTGTTTGTGGTGCTGAGGAATCGACCCCAGGACCTCATGCATGCAAGGCAAGCACTCTACCACTAAGCTATCTTCCCAGCCCATGACCTTAATTCTTAAAACGAATCCCTGCCAGTCTGAATGTATCACTGTCATAACAGCATCTTAAAGAACCAGTGAAATGAAAGCAGAAATCTTCAGATAGTTTCCTTTTCTCCTTAAGGACCTCATGGTCATCTCCCCCCTAGAAAGGACCAGTGTTCGGAGGTATAGCCAAGACAGAGAAGAATTAGAAAAACAATCCATTCGTGGGCCCCTGTTTTGTCATTCCTCCTCAAACTTGCTCTTTTTTCCTTATATTTTTCTTTTCCTGTCTTGCTTTGATTTTTCCTTTGCTTTTCTCATCCCTTTTCTCTTTCCTCTGTTCTCTCTTTTCTCCCCATTCTCTCCTTTTCCCTTTCATTTCCTCTCATGCTTCAGCCTCCCAAGTGCTAGCATTATAGATAGGTATTACAATGCCCAGCTTTATTATTATTATTATTATAACCAGATTCCTCTTTTACTCTGGCCTCTCACTCTTAGAAAAGGCTGTTCTTTGTAGCAATGTTATAGCACAATTGAGAAATGCCATAGTAATACATAAAAATGTTAAGATAAATGTTTCTTATGTGTCACCTTATCTTTTGTATAACTATTTAATAACAAAGTAACAGCTCAAGCCAGCAAAGGGAAGAAGCAAAGTTTAAGTATTTTCATGGTTTATTTGCATGCTTATATGACAGGTGTGTAGTAAGGAAAAAAAAACTTTTTTCTTGGAATAACCATTTCTTACAAAATCTGCTTTTGTTTTTGCCTTGTGAGTATTATATAGGTATAATAAATAACATTGAAGCTTTTGCATTGTTTGTTTACCACGTAGTGGTACTATGTTCCATTCTGGAATTCTTTCCAACTGATCAGAAAATTTTTCAAGCATCTGAAAGATACCTGCATTTTCTATTTTAATCCTTAATCCATCCTGTTCGTTTGTTTTTATAGCTGAGTTTTTATAAAGATGGATATAGTTTCACCTCAGTTTTCAGGAAGCTGTCCTGACACCCTTTAGTGCTGGGAGCCAATGTAGAACCTTGCACATGTTAGGCAAGTATTCTACCATTAAGCTGTCTCTCTTCGGGCCTTTTATATGCACTTTTTTTCTTCTCCTGTTGGTTGTGGGACTTGAACTTTGGGCATGGGAACTGTGCCTGAACTCTTCAGTTCAAGGCAAGCACTCTACCACTTGAGCCACAGAGCCAGTTCTGGTTTTCTGGCGGTTAATTGGCAATAAGAATCTCACAGATGGGCTGGGAAGGTGGCTCAGTGGTAGAGCATGCTTGCCTTGCATGCATGAGGCCCTGGGTTTGATTCCTCAGCACCACATAAGCAAAAAGAAAAAAGCTGGAAGTGGCGCTGTGGCTCAAGTGGTAGAGTGCTAGACTTGAGCTGAATAGCTGAGGGACAGCGCTCAGGCCCAGAGTTTAGGCCCCATGACCGGACCAAAAAAAAAAGTCTCTCACAGATTTTCCTGCCTGGGATGGCTTTGAACTGTGATCCTCAGATGTCAGATGAGTAGCTAGGATCACAGGTGTGAGCCACCAGTGTCTGGCTGCACTTTGTGTTTTTTTGTGTGTGGGTTGTGTGTGTGTGTGGGTTTTGTGTGTGGAGTGTGTGTGTGTGTGTGTGTGTGTGTGTGTGTGTGTGTGTGTGTGTGTGTGTGTGTGTGTGTGTGTGTGTGTGTGTGTGTGTGTGTGTGTGTGTGTGTGTGTGTGTGTGTGTGTGTGTGGTGGTTTTTGCCAGTCCTAAGGCTTGAACTCTGGGCCTGGGTGCTG